CCAGGAAAGGCGCAAAGCTACACAGAGAAACCCTGTCTCGGAAAAAAAAAAAAAAATCTGCTGTTCTCTAACCTTTACAAAGCTCTGCCACATAGAACCACTTGCTGATGGGGTTAATATGGGGGAAGTGAAAGAGCAAGGACCAACTCTAGAAAAGGAGAATATTCTCCAGGTAAGCACCAGCAAAGGAGGAAGCGGCAGAGTCTGTCAGTAACAGTGATGCAAAGCACGTGCTCGCTCGACACTGATAGAAGAATGGGAACTCTGAGGTTGAGGACTAATGGCTGGGTGTGACACAAGGTTTTTATAACTCCTAATGATGGGAGGTCCATGTCATGGAGACCTGTAATCCCAGTTACTTGGGAAGCTGAAGCAGGATAGAAAGTTCAAAGCCAGCCTTGGTTACATAGTTCAAACTAGACTGAACAACCTATTGAGAGCCTGCCCTGCCGCCACAAAAGAAAAAGTAAGAAGGCAACTGTGGATATAGCTCAGGATAGAATTCTTGCCCAGCAAATGTGAGGTTCTGATTTCAAATCCCATGACTTGAAAAAAAAAAAAATCTTGACACTAAAATTTACCTCATTTCAATGAGAACTGTGAGAATGAGGAAGTACAGTTTAAGCCAGGGCTAGCTTTCAAAAAAAGGCAGAAAACTTTGGGAGAATCTAAAGCAGATTAAAGACAGAGACCCAGTCATAGTCTCAGGCAGCAGCCCAGGCCGGATGTCACCATGGTCCCAGGAGGCAGTACAAGCCATGTGGATTGGTGTGGCTCTCAGATACCAACATGGTGCCAGGTAGCAGCTTAGACCCTCCCGTCATTTGCTTGGTCTTCAATGGTCTCAGAAGCCACAGAGATGAACATAGACCCAGACATTGCCCTCGGCTGCAGTCCTAGTCCAGACAATACCATAACCACAGCTGACAACCCTGGCCACCCAGACCGGCTTGGCACCAACAACAACAGTACAGCCCACAGACACCAACACGGTCACTAGTTGCGGGGCAGAGCCCAGGCATCCAAGTGTGCCCTGGTGGCAACATGGGCTAGGGACATCAACACAGACCCCTGCTGTATCAGGACCACGGATCCAGACATGGTCCTCAGTAGCAGCCCAGGGCAGGTTGTCACCATGGCCCTCAGTGGTCATGCAGGCCACCCAGATTGGCATAGCCTCGCTGTAGTGCTGCCCTGAGACACTAATGTGGCCCAATTACAGGTCCCTACATGTTCCCCAGTGACGACAGGAGCCACAAACATCAGCTCAGCACCCGCTCGGCTGCTCCAGGGCCACGGATCAAGACCTGACCCTTGGTCATAGTAGCACAGGCCCAGACATCTCACTGGGCTGGGTTGGCCAGCTGGCTGCTCAGGTCAGCCTGTTCCTCATCACACTAACCCTCTAGATCCGTCTCTCCCCAACCACAAACCATTCCACCTCTCCTTCTCTTCCATCCCCACCCTGTCCTCTCTCACCCCAATGGTGCCCAACTGACTAGAACAGTAATTCTTTGTTGGGTCACAGGTGATACTTGGTTGAATCCTGCCCACCCCAGCCACAAGGGATGGCCTGGAAGTGTTACCTTTCCTCTCGGCAGTGCCCAGGCCTAGAGACCTCGGGCAGTACAGGGCACGATGGTACGTCGCCTGGCTCCACAGGAACCAGGCCATCTCTTGGTTGATTGTAGCCCCCGCAAATCCAAAAGTTTTGGGGTAGGGACACCTTTTGTTTCCATTGCAGATTCAGGTCTGAATGGAGCTGGCAGCTTCTAGTGGATTGAGGTTCCTGCAGACAGACCCAAATGTGTCACATGTCTCAAATTTATAACATGCACATATGATATATGCTTTTGGAAATAGTTTTTTAAAGATATATTTTATTTTGTTCCTGTTTATGCGCGCGTGCGTGCACGTGGTGTGTGTGTGTGTGTGTGTGTGTGTGTGTGTGTGTGTGTGTGTGTGTGTATCTGTGTTTGTAGATGCCCACAGAGTACAGAATAGGGTATTAGATCCCCTAGAGCTTGGATTCCAGGTAGTTGTAGATGCCCAACAACTAGACCATACTTTATGAGTAAATTCCTTTATGTTGCTATATTATTACAACTTCATCAGGAAGTAATTTTTGAGATAGTTTTATTCCTTTATTTTATTCCAAATCCCTGAGTTTTATGAGTTTATAATTTTTGCCTTTATTACTCTGTAAAACAATTGCCTTTATCATTTTGATTGCATTAGATATGTTAGATTTAAACATGTCTGTAAAATCTACAATATCTATTTTACCTGTAAGTCTTCGACCTCTTATTTGTTTGTTTTAATTTTCACATGCATTGCTCTGGCTCTATCTGGGTCAGAATATTTTAATCAGAAATTATACTTAAAATCTGTGGTAACATTTTGAGATCTAAAATGATATCTTTGGTACACCTATTAGAGGCATTACTAATCCTGGGTCAGGAATGATTCAATATATTAAGTAAATTTCAGTTCATGGAAATTCAGACTATTTCCAATTATTCTGTTCTTACTGGAATCTAATAAAAAAACGAAAAGTTATTGGAACTTTGATCCACCTAACTGGTCTTATCAGGTTACTGTAATATTTTCTATGATTGTCTGCCTCATTTTTTTCTTCTGCATTTTAGTAGAATTGCTGACTTTGCTGACTTGGAATACACTCCTTGTAGAAGTGAGTATTTTTGCATGTTTAAGATCATATCTTCCAGGGCTGAAGAAATAACCGGCATAGTAGTAAGAACACTTGCTGCTCTGGTAGAGGACTGGAGTTTGGTTCCACCACTCACATCAGGTGGCTTGCATTGGTCCACAACTGTAGGTCCAGGGCATTGGACCTTCAGTGTGCATACATGCATTCGGACAAACACCAAGCAGGAGAATGGTAATATAGTTAATTTTATCAGACTACAGCTGCTCCACCGAGAATAGAAATGTGAGTACCAAAGCCTGAAAACATCACGAGCATCATCCGCAGTACTTGTGATGAGGAAAAATGCTAAAGAGGATATTAAATATTTCATAAAATGTGTATAAGTTCAATTTAAGGAATGTTTTGTATTTCTAAAAATTATCACAATTTTAATAAGTTGGATATGAGAAGTGAAGAAAAGTTGAAAATGTCAGAGACTTCAAGATTTTGACCAGGACCTGAAATGTATAGCAGGCTGAATACAGACAGACCATCAGTAGAGTTCAAGCCCTGATGAACAGCTGTTGGCTCAGAAGATATATTCCAGGAACAATTTTATTACAGTGAAGAGTCAAGAGCAGACCTGTGTGTTTAATTACAAGAATACAGTGAAATGAGGGTGACAACACTCAACAATGATGGGCCTGAGCCTGGTGTACTGGGACTCTGGAGAAAAGGGAAGGAAAAGATGGCCTTTAGAGAAATATTTGAACAAAACTGTTGTGCTTTGTCTTATTATATTCCCTTGTTATAAATGTAGTATACACAGAAGACAACAGAGAAGGATGGCTTTAAGGTTTCAGCTATATCCATTTTCACTATGTTTTACAGCAGAAAAGCAAGTCAGTTTTGTGAGATCTTGAATGGCTGTAAAATTACTAAATGACCAATTCATACTTTAGCTTTGGATGACTGCTATCAACTTTTTGCCTTTGTATTTCAACCAAAATAAAACACGAACTCCTTATTGTAACAGAAAGTACCTTAAGATTATGCCCTGTAGATGAGTTTGTGAAGTCAACCCCATACCATGTTTATCTTCATTTATTCCAAGAATGATCAAAGTATTACCTAGGGTGATTATTTTTCATAAACTAATAAGATTCGCTTATTTCTTTTATTCATGAAATGCTGAAATCTAACCTTAAAAAGTCTCCTAGATAATTTAATTTCCTAATAAAGCTTAGAGTGTTCTAAATTAACATTTAGGAATTAATACAATAAATGTGTAACCTTTTTTTTAGTATAATCATGATTCCTATGTTTCAACTATATCATCACTTTGTGGAAAACAGAATTATATTTTTAGAATTAAATTTACTATTGGAGTACACTAATATAGTTAGAGATTTAGGAAATTAAGTCAATAGCCTTTGGAATTCTGGGCTTTTACTTTGGAGACTACCACTATATAGATTTTCAGTTATTAGAAAATTAAGCATAATTCAATTATGTTTGCATTTAAAATGAATATTTTCTACCAGATATTCCACATAATTACACAATACTAAGATTCATAATATTTATAGCTCCCATTATTTGGGAGAGAGGATAATTTTTCTTTTTTTAATCTTTGAAGCAATCAAGTTAATAGGGTTATTGTAGTTGAGGAATAGTGTAGTTTACCATCACAAAATTATTTAAATATTTCTAAAATACTTCTAATATCTCTAGCAACTAATGTATGTTCTTTTTTGTTTGTTTGTTTGTTTGTTTGTTTTTAGAGACAGGGTTTCTCTGTGTAGCTTTGCACCTTTCCTGGAAATCACTCTGTAGCCCAGGCTGGCCTCAAACTCACAGAGATCCACCTGGTTCTGCCTCCCGAGTGCTGGGATTAAAGGCATGTGCCACCACTGCCCGGCCTAATGTATGTTCTTAATTGGCATACTATCTTTAAAAAGTTAGGATTTTCCACTCTTGAATTTTGGTCCCAGATATAAACAACTGGAAAGTGCCTTCTTCCTAAAACTACAATGAAAATAATCTAAACTAATTTGAAATTCTTGCTTCATTTACCTCCATTGGAGGATTATGCTCAACTGGATAAGGAACATATGCATTCAGGAAAGTTGGTAATCATGCATAACGTTATCTACAGTGAATATAATAATGTATTAAAAACATTCCTGTTAGGTACATATGCATGTCAAATTTTACTGTTTCATCATTTATTCTTTCCTTTGATAATATGAAATTTATTACTACTTTTCCAGTTGATGTGACAAGAACAATTTCAAAAAAAAAGCAACTTGAAGAATATAAGATTGATTTTGGCTGTGAGTTTGAGAGGATACAATCAAAGTTTTGGGGAAGTCTTGGTGGGAGAAATTTTCTTACATCTCAGAGGACCAGCAAACAGAAAGACTGGACCCGGGTCTAGGGTATAAGCAGCAAGACACACCTACATTCTTGTTTTACAGGGCCTGTGGTGGGTATTTTACATCCAAACTATGAGAACAATGTATTTTTATCACCAGTAATAGCTCTTGTTCTTGTCTTAATTTCCTATTATTAATATGGATAAGGCAATATTCATTCCATAATATTTTAATGGTTTTAATATTTCATTTTGTATTTCACCTTTGAATTATTTAATTTATTTATCAATTGTGTGTGTGTATGTGTGTGTGTGTGTGTGTGTGTGTGAGAGAGAGAGAGAGAGAGAGAGAGAGAGAGAG